AGCGTGTGGTTTCAAGTACCGAAAGGTGCCATCCTCCACCTGGATGACCTGACATAGTTCCATCTTCCAAGCAAAGAGTACAGATTAGAACTGGAAACCCCATCCTTCGTCAGGAACCACACTGTCACCCTAACTCCAGAACGGGAATTGTGGTTTGCAAAAGGGGGTCCCAGTGAATTGACATTGCTCCTATCGACACAGCCCTCCAAGCTGTGTCTCGACTGCCAGTCTTGACTCCCGCACCTGTTGTCCAAGCCTGGACCGCAGCCGACACTGCGCGTTGCATCTCTACGGTAACCGGCCACACTCTGACACTAGGTTTGGCCTCCACTCTGCAAAGGAGACTCAACGAGATGCAAACATCTTCAGCCAAGCTCACGAAAGCCGTGCCTGAAGGTCTCAGACAGCATCCCCGGAAAAGGGGGTGCCAAGCCAGAGACCACGCCGAACCCCATCGAGCTGAGCCCTCAGCTCTAAGCTCCACCTGCCATCCTACTTTCCTGACTTACCTACCATCTGACCAATGTGACGGTTTAACGAGGCCGCCCACACGGGTCCTGCCAAACCGCCAAAAGGGGGAATGTAGTGATAATCAGATCGGTAGGTGAGCCAGCTCTGGTATGTGGGAGGGAATTAACTAGATTCTAATGTAGTTAAGTTCCCCTTTAACTTCCATTCATGAAACAAAGGGGATAGTGTTTTGAATTGATTAAATCATTGACTCTGACTCGCACAATGCAGCATCTTTCTCTAATGAATGAACAACGAAGTGCTTTGCTTACGAGTCGAGCCGCTCTGGACATGTGACTCGAGATAAGACCTCATGGGTCTGACCGACGATCACGGGGTCTGCTTGATTTGATCACTTCACAATGCTGCCTGAACGCTGAAGGACAATCACACATTGATTGCACACACACACACACACAAATGTCCTATAATGTGTATATAAATGTATACTGTATAACACAGAAATTGGATCCAACCTTCCGGTATGCATGCATATCTAATTAGTCTTGTCTTATTCTACAGATGTAATTTTAACTGTTCTGTAACTTCGAACCTTAAAGTGTATTTCTAAAGAAAGATTCTATAACTCTCCCTTCTTGCTAGGTCATAAAACTTTATGACTCCCAAAAGGAATTCCAAGGGAAATCACAGCTCCCACTTGAATTCTGATGAAGAAAGGGGAATAGCCTCTGCAATCTTATATTGTCTATAAGTATAACCACTTAAGAAATGCATAAACATGAATTTGATATTTCCTAGGTCACGGTAGCCGGTATTATGGCTTTATAATCGTGTGAAGGAACATTAAATGCTTATAAAATGCATATCTTATGTAACTCTGTATTCCGATAATCTTCATGCGACGTGTCTGATATGTCTGTAATTCGCTCAATCTAACGGAGCCGAATTCCGATAGCATGATGAAGTAAGGTGCATTATTTTACACATTTCATATTTCAGGAGCCGAACGGCTCAAATGCAATCTCCACATGAAGTGGGCATCCCCCACAGGACAAAGGGAACTGTGTCTGCTTCAAAAAAAACGCTTCTGAAAACTCTCTGCCAAAACTCCCTGGCTCTTCCTGCTCTTTGTGGCTTCATCATGTGACTCCTCGTGCGTCTGGACATCGCCTTAGTGTGATGATCCATCGTTTCTCTCTTTGTTTTCTTCAAGTTTATTTTATCTTTTTCGAAGTCTCCTCTGTTCATGTCTTCTCGCGAAGAAAATGAACACAACCAGACTGGCAAGCTTCACCTACAAGGACATTCAAACACGCCGCGCTCGCTGGACGAACCCGAACGCTCGGCATCCACCTGACAGAGATACACGCACACGCCGTTTTCAGATCGGTCACACCCAAGAGCGGTACCTCTGCAAGTATCCGTTTTACTATGCTTATTTGAGATCTGTTGATCCTTGGTGTCTAAAAAGGTTCTGTCTGTGATGAATGTTGCCAAACCAGAAGATATCTCATCTTCTCTCTCTCTCTCTCTCTCTCTCTCTCTCTCTCTCTCACACACTCCCAATCTTGCGCTCTCGCAATCTCTCTCTCTCACTCCTGTTTGTTGTTCGTCTGTCTCGTTAGTTTTACTGTTTAACTGTACATACATGTATCCTGTGTTCAAATGTAGAATTCTGTATCCGTAGTTTCAATTATTAAAACCATATTCTTGATTGATCCTGAAGTGCTCATTTACAAGTCAATAAAATGAATATCTCGCTAAAAAGCTTTACAAGTGTTACTATATCAGTAACGTAAATTTTATAAACACGAGAAAATTAATGTTCACGGCCGGAACATTGAGATTTCTTGGAGTTTATAAAAAGGGATAACGTTGTTGAATTAATTGATGGGTTAATCTTACAGCCGTTTGCTGGACAAACCGATTGTTTGGTAGCCAATTGATTCCCTTAAAGTTATCCCATATAATCGATCTGTAATGAGACCATTGATATATGAATGAGGAATTATAATTCGTTATGATTGATCATTCATATATACAATCGATCTATTTTCAATTTCGATAATTTAACTGTAATATGCAATATATTAATCATATTCATGATTAATTATTAAAATTCCCTATGCATAATTTGAGCTAATTAAGGCACATCTCAATGTGGCTACAATACTTATCCACATGATAAAGGAGGTCTTGAATGTGCCAAAAATATAAAAAACTCATTTTCGACCAAACACGAAGTTACGGTCTTTTGCCTTTGCATGGAAGTATGGCTCTTGGCATGGAAAACTAAACTGCAATCAAACTTAATTGGTTGATTCGCACATATTTAATCGTCTGGGGTATATTTGAATGTGTGTAAGAGAACACGATTTCAGAACTGGTTAGGGAAGTAAAAAATAATATTTCATCTTAACAGATTTTTTTTAATGCCATCAATTCTGGAAAGATATGTCCTTTGCAGCCAAATGTTAAAGGGATAGTTCAGGCAAAAATGAAAATTCTGTCATCATTTACTCACCCTAATGTCGTTCCAAACCCTTTTGTTCTTCTTCGGTACACGAATAAAGATATTTTTAATAAAATCTGAGCGATTTCTGTCCCTCATATTGACAGCTATACGCAACCACTTTGACGCTTCAAAAAGTTAATAAAGACATTGTAAACTAATCCATGAATTGAGCAGTTTAGTCCAAATTTTCGGAAGAAACACGATCACTTTATATGCTGAACAGATTTAAGTTTTTATACAGATAAACATTCACCCATGCACACATCATTTGTGGTAAACGGAAGTTCAAGCATGCTTGCTTGACATGCGAGAACCAATAAAGTTCATTCTCATGTTACGCAGCACATTTGAGCTTCCGCAAGAACCAATGAGGTTTGTTCTTGCAAGTCAAGCAGGTTCAGCTGAGCTTCTGTTTATGTTCGCTGATCAATGTTTATATGTGAATAAAAGCCTAAATTCAATCTGTTCATAAAGCGATCATGAAAATCGAATCATTTGGACTAAACCTCTCAATTATTTCATTCGTTTTTCGATCACTTTATGAACTTTTTGAAGCGTCAAAGTGGTAGAAGCGCAGCTGTCAATGGAGTACAGAACTTTCTCAGATTTGATTTCAAATATCGGTAATACTTTACAATAAGGTTTCATTAGTTAACTACTTTAGTTAACATGAACTAAGAACGAACGATACTTCTACGGCATTTTAATTTGAATACATGTTAGTTACATAATACATAACATTTAATAACACATTATTAAAATCAAAAGTTGTATATTTTAACATTAGTTAATGAACTGTGAACTGACATGAATAAATGAAAGACTGTATTTTTATTAACCAAGATTAACAAAGATGAATAAATACTGTAACAAATGTATTGCTCATTGTTCATGTTAATACATTACTGTAACTAACAAATGAGACCTTAAAGTGGAACCAAAATATCTTAAATGTGTTCCGAAGATGAACAAAAGTCTTATGGGTTTGGAACAACACAAAGGTGAGTAAATGATGACAGAATTTTCATTTTTGGGTGAATATCCTTTTAAGGAATCAAGCAGCAGAAGCTATGCTAAACATCAATATATAGGCCTACCTCTGGAAATCGACTCTATGTTTTCCCTTTTTTTTTTTTTTTTTTGATAAAGCTCATATGAGTGCATCTTTAATTGCTAATTCACTCATATTTCGATATGTTGATGTGAATTATTATATGATTTTTTAGGCAGTAATTCATTTTTGAACACTGAATAATTATTCATTAATTGAAGACAGCGCCGGGTGACATTAATTCCCAAACTCTTGTCTCTCCCTAATGACTTTTATAAAACCATTGATCTTTTTCAACACAAGTCATTAACGTCTCCATCATTTATTCTGAAGCTGTCCCATAATTGCAAACTTTTTCATGCTGACTTCACTGACCTATAGAATGAGGTATAAGCATTCATGTATGTGAATCTGACATTCTTTAGCCTTATGTTGCATGTGCCATGGTGTGTGTTTGAGTAATTATTTGTGTTGATTATCCTTACAGCTATAAGTGCAAAAGGCTAAACCAACCAAATTGTGCATGAGACCTCAAAGCTGAAAATGAAAAAGAGACACTAAAGACGCTTTAATAGTATTAATAGTATTTTTTATAATTAGTTCTCAAAATATTTCTACATCTTTAGTTATTACAAGTAGAAAGAGAAGACTAAAAAAATATCTGCTAACATTAATCCCAAGTTAGAATTTTACTCATTGTCATTGTTGTTTTTGTAAAACTTTTTAAATTACACAAATGATACAGTATATTATAGTATATTTTGTCAATTCCTAAATCGTTTTGTAGTACTTTCAGTTACAGAACAGTTTCACTGCTGAAAATCAACATGTGTATGTGAGTGTTGTAATTGTGTCAACACACTCTTCTGACAATAATTTGCACAAGATGGCAAAATCTTATACAAAAATGTATAGAACAATAATAGGTAGACTATTACATTTAGGTTTGAATCATACGCTCTACATTTTTACCATTTCATACGGACTCTCATGACACTGTTAGCTATGTGTGTTTTAGTGTTTTCTGCGCTCCAATGTGATCCAGATGCCTTGCTCTGGTCGCAGCACCAGTTCACCCAGTGGCCGGAGTTCCTCCCTCTTCTGACATGCCACTATGTTAAAGTAGCGCAGAATATAAGCCAGAATAACCTTCTCCTCCATTATAGCAAACCGCTGACCTGAATACACAGAAACATAAAAAAATGTTGGGAGCTAGAATAATAAATCAATGAAAAGTATAATGTTTGTGTGTAGGTCTCACCGATGCAGTTGCGAAGACCGGCAGAGAAAGGAATGAAGGAATAAGGATGTCGACCGACACAATTCTCTGGCAGAAAGCGCTCAGGACGGAACTCTTCAGGGTCAGGGAAGAAGCGTGGGTCACGGTGAAGGGCATAAGTTATGACGATGGCATTTGCTCCTTTAGGGACTTTATAGCCATCTACAGAAGGCATATGACACACACACACATACACACACAAATATCATGTCAGATGTCCATCCTTATAGTTTCTCAGAATAGGAAGGAATAGCTCACCAAGAGATTGTCATTATTTAAAAAAAAATCTTCTATCTATAAATTAGGAACGTCTGTCTGTCTGTCTGTGTGTGTGTCTGTTATTCGCATATCTCTCGAACCGTTATTCTGATGGATTTCAAACTTGACAGGTGTCCTGCTACGGGCACGAGTAAGTGCAGTGCCAAGTTTGACGTTGTTTGGATTAGAAATGCAAAAGATATCGGTAAATATATCGGTAAAAGAAGCACACATTGAAGATGTTTAGATGATGTTTAGATGATGTTTAGAAGGTTGTGGTTTAAAAATAAACATTCTGACATAAACACTCTGTCAGCTAAACATTAAGTCAGCTACACTGTTTACTTCTGAATATTATATTTTCTTCACGGCTAACATTTGTAGTAGCCTATTCACAAACTGTTTGTTCAAGCGTAGAGTTTTTTTACGAAGTTCACTGTTACCTCGTTTCCACCAAAAAAGAACTGGTTCGGAACTGGTGCTGGTTCAAAGTTGGTTCATATTGATCCTATATTGGGGTCAGAAGAAGACTCTTTCTTCAATCGTTGTACTATCTTTCTTTTAGCGCTACGTTTTAAGCAATGGCGGTCACAACCTTTCCCGTCGTGTTGTTGGTCACAATAACTCCGCCCCCAGCCCCCGACGTAAGCATGAAGTGGTAAAAGAATGGTTCTAGTCCAGCAAAGAGTTGGTGCCGCTTTGGAACCAATTTTCCTGGCCGAGAACCTGTTCTTTGGCTGTCGAAACACAAAGAACTGGTTCGCGAGTAGGCACCGGCTCTGAACCGGATCTTAAAATGCTTTGGTGGGAAAGGGGTATCTGTAGCCTGCTCCCTGAATCCTCATTCATTTGTGGATGTTAACTGAATCTGTAAGGCAGCTACGCTGTTTACTCCTGAATATTATATTTCATTCTGGTGTGTTTTCGCTGTAGCCTATGCTATTCACCAATTAAACATATCCTATTCAATGCGTTCACAGTCTCCTTCACGGCCATCATTTGTAGTAATCTATTCACAAACTGATTGCTCAAGCATAGCCTGGTCTCAATGCTAAGTTATTACTGTGTCATGCGCGCTGAAGTTAGCCTGTAACTATGTGATGTTGAATATGCTATGCTAAATAGTTGCCCTGCCTATTCAACAGGATAGCTCATGTAGGCTATGCAGGCTTAAACGAGGTTAACTCTCCTCTTACCGATCGTGACGGCAAATCCCCATCTTTCCAGTGTAAGCCATCGTTACTTTTCATCATTGAAACAACCAAGTTAGCTGTTTATGTGTTCTCCTTTGTTGTGCTTAACGTTGTTTTATCGGTCGTTAACTGGATAGTAGTAGTAAACATGTCAAACATAGCCTGATCTCAATGCTAAAACTGGCTATTATGGCTACAATATGTTCTATGAAAAAATTTGGAGTTAAAAAACTTCAGTACATGTTGAATGCCGTATCTCCGGAAACGTCACGCTTATTCATTTGTGGATGTTAACTGAATCTGTTATAATGTTACACCATACCACTTCATTAACTGTATACTACTACTGTATCTACCCTGCACTATATGTCATATACTGTTTATACTGCACTACCTGTCTCATCTATACGGTTCACATTGCACTTTTCTGCATTTTTGCACTTCTGGTTAGACGCAAACTGCCTTTCATTGTCTCTATAATTGTAATCTGCACAATGACAACAAAATTCAAACTCATGTAAATCTAATCTAATCTAATCTAAACTCCCGCTACCTGTACACATATACCCAGGGCTGGACTGGCCATCGGGCATACCGGGCATTTGCCTGGTGGGCCGACGTGCTTTGTGGGCCGATACATCTCATACTTCTTTTTTTTTTTTGTCTGAACGGCCCATAAAACTCGTATATCGGCGGCCCTTGCGTTTAGTTTTGTTTAATTGGCGGCTCTGGGATCTTTGTGCCGGTGTAATGCATTGGACAAAAAAGTCAGCGTAGGTTTTTCTTTTTCACACAGACCGGCGCATGATGAAACGCGTAGATCAGCAGCCCATTGGTTATTTTCTTGATTGACACTGGGCTGGTCCAATCACATCTTTAAACTCCTCCCCCTTTGAGCTCTGAGTGAGCGAGCAGTGTCAGTGTGTATCTGTCAAAATAGTCAGAGCGATGGAGAAGAAACGCAAGGAATGTGCAGAGAAATAGCGTGAAAAAGAAACTTCAAAGGCCCTTCAAGTGTCTGATGAGGATAGCGAGGAGGATAAGGAGAGAGATGAGTGAGTGCAGAGAACTGTGTTAAGCAGAACTAGGCTACTGTCACAACAACACTTATGGTGTGTTCACACCGAACGCGAATAGAGCGTCAAATACGCGTCTATCGCGTTTAGTTAGACGCTTGAACATTCGCTCGAGTTCAAATTTTTCAACTTGCAACGTGTCGCCCAATTCGCGTCATTCGCAACGCCCGGCGCGAATGATGTGTCTATTCGTGTCTTTGCATTGACTTTGTATGTAATCTACTCGCCCAAATAATTAAATTCGCGTTCGGTGTGAACACACCATTAGGCTATGTAGGAAGCCACTACCCAGTTACGCATTATTTACACATCTGCATATTTGACGATTACGCATTTTATTAGAATTGTAATGAGACAATAATGAGTAATCAGTTTGTAAACCATATTTTTCTTCAAAATAAAAGCTACATGCCGTTTCCGTCAAAATAAAAGATCATGTGCTTATCTCTGTATAGAAATTAGTACGAAACTAATTATAAAAGTTGCTTTTATTTTTCAGTGCATTTGTTTTACAACATATGGCTATTACTGCCATGGGATTAATATTATAACTATTATTATGTAGTGTAATATAGACAGACACTATATCACAACTAAAAGAGTTTTGAGTTTTTCTTTGTTCAATTTGCACACTGAATATGGGTTGGAGCTCTTTATTTTTAACTCTCAAAGTGCACCAGACTGATGAATTTAACATTAAAAAGCACAACATTTTCTATAGTTATATAGTGGGCCAGTCTGGGCCAAAATGCCCGGGCCGATTTTTTGTCCCAGTCCAGCCCTGCATATACCCAAATACATGTCACCTAATATCACCATTATAAATTGTTATGCAACCATGTAGTTCAATTTTCCATATTTATTGTATGTCATTATGTCAGTATCAGTATTTGCTTTCTACCATGCACGTATGCAACTTGCAACTTTTGCTGTGTAATTGTAACAATGAGCACTCAAACACACCAAACCAACAATTACTAAAAACACACACAAAAACTGATTTTGCACGGGCACTGCACTAGTTATAAATAATTACAATATAATAATGATGACATTAATGTTGCTTCTGTCATGAAACTGCACAAGGAACATGGACAGAGGTGATCCAAACGCAGGCTTTAATGAGAGGAAGATCCAGGGACAGGTACAGGGAAACATGCAGGGGTCAAAACCAGGTAAGCAGTCCAGATCAGCAAACATATAATGCAAGGATGAGGCAAACGGGAAGACCAGAAACAGGCAGGGAGTCCAGGAACCGTGAAACTAGGAAACACTAAGGAACTAGGAAACACTAAGGAACTAGGAAACACTAAGGAACTAGGAAACACTAAGGAACTAGGAAAACGCTTAGGATGCAGTGAGACACATACAATACTGAGCAATGAACCAAGGGAAAACTCAGGCTTAAGACAGATGCGCTAAACAAGATAATCAAACACAGGTGCATGAAATCAACCATAATCAGTCCAGGGTAAAACCTAAAGGAAACAATAAACTAGGAAGGAGTGCCCCCCAGCGGCTCAAGCAGGCACTCCAGGCGCAGATCGTCACAGCTTCAAACACGTATGCTATTATTTCTTCAGTGGAAAGAAAAAGATTATGCCCTCATAATCTTTAATCAAAATAACTTTTGTCTACTTCTTGCAATTGCATCTCTTTTCTGATGCGTTTACTGGCGCTAGTGTGGGACAACCTTTCACTCACATGAGATCACAGCAATAGCAAACCACAACAATCCAGTCAATTCCAGATGGACAAAATCAAGTCCTGCACTACATTTTGTCTTGTTTGAGAAGCCATTTCACTCCGATATATGTCACAATAGAGAAGAAAAGACTATCACAACGTCTGTTTCATATTGAATTTGTTTTATTAAAGGGCCCCTATTATGCTATTTTAAAGTTTCCTAATGTTGTTGTGGAGTCTCCTACAACATGTTTACATGCATCAAAGGTAAAAAAAAAACCCTGTTTAATTTCCTCATAATATACATATGCACATCATCACATTTTCAATGATTCTCAAACGACTCGTCAAATGCCTCTAAATCAATCCCTCTAAATCCCTCCTTTCCGCGAGCTACTCTGCTTTGATTGGCCAGACAGCTCAGTCTGTTGTAATTGGCTTACCGTGTACAGAGCTTTGAAAATGAAACCGCCCATTGCCATAACAACGTAAGCTCTACTTGTCCTGAGGCTTCCTACACCGTAAACTAAACACAGTAACGAACAATGACGTCGATTTGACCATATCAATGCGAGCGCAAGTCCGATGATGAAACACTGGAAGAGCTAGTTAGTTATTCAACCCGAACCATCGCAAGGACGACTCGAGCAGGATGTTTCACAGTGATACGCTACTCAGTTTGAGGTACATAATAAGATGTTGCAACTGTAATTCCTCACCATCAGCATTAACAAGTGCATGTGCATCAACAAACCGATTAGTTTACTTGTACTAATTTATTTACCGAGTATTTTTCTAATATATTGCGGTGAATACGTGGAAACTGTATCAATAACAGTGCATGTATGCAATGTACATTAGCCGAGCTCTAGAGTGAATGATATGATGTAACATAAACGTTGGTAAAACAAATATTTCTTCAAAGTAGTGAGAACGATAGACAATCTGCATTAATAGACACAGTTATAGGTAATAGTGGCCCACAGCTGATCAGCAGAAGTATTTCAGTAAGACAGTGATAACATGAGTTAGCCAGGAGACCAACACAATATAAAACTCAAAACTAAGTTTTTTTAACACAATCTTTCAAGAGCAAGCGGTGTGCGAATCCTGCAATAAACTGGCTTTACCTTCACATTGTAAAGCACAGCGCCGTCTTCTCGACATGATGCTTTCCAGTATCCACAGGAATCAGCTGCAGTGTTTGAGGTTCAAGTTTTCCCTGGTGTCTGCGCGTGCAATAAGTGGGCGGGCAATATACTAATGTTTCGTCTTGACGTCACAACGAAACAGCTTATGATTCGCTTGAAAAACGATTAATTTAATTGACTCAGAGTCGACTCTTACTTTTGAAAGACAATAACTTAATATACGGTGCACTTTCAGATTTAAAACTTTGCAGGATGTTTTCATTCACTTAGAGCTTTGTTATTACACACTACATGAAAGGTCATTTTCAAAAATCCATAATAGGGGCCCTTTAACTGATGAATAGACAGAGCAAAATGGACACAAAAATATACTAAAAGGTGTAAATTAATGAAATTCCTCATTACTCAATGCATACATGACTTAAAGAATGAATGAATATGAAGAGAAGACTAATAAAAGGAACTCACTTATCTGTGTATCCTCGCAGATGGTTCGGGCAAAAAATGGAACAGAGGGGAAGAGACGCAGAGACTCCTTTATCACACACTCCAGATAACGCAGTTTCTTCAGATCCTCTGTGTTAACAGGCCTCTCAGACTCGCCTGACACACACACATTGCAAAAATGATTAAAATGAGTTTCAGGCTCTTTTAGCTCACAACAATGTTTCAACTATACTAGGTGTTTAACTGCATAATATGAACCACAAGTGGGCTTAACACACCAAAAACCTCAAATAGTTCTTGTTGGGCCTTTCTTTGGATTTCAGGATGGGAACCTAACAAGTGTATGGCCCAGTTCACGGCAGCCGCTGTAGTGTCATGACCCTGCAAAATATTGCAAAAATGCTAATTGAAATAAAGCCATCAGGATATAACAGCACTCTAACATGAAGTTATTGTAACAGTTCCTGCCTCAAACATAAAGGTGTCCACTTCCTCCTGGATATCTTTGTGAGTTAACTTTTTCCCATCCTCATCGGTTGTTTTCAACAGCATGTCCAAAAAAGCCCGTCTTTTCTTCATCCCCTGATCTGATTCGCTGTCGGACTCAATGTAGGTGATGTACTCTGCCCTTTCATAAATCACCTGTGTCAGAAAAAAAAACAGGTGATCAGAATGCAGCCTTGACTAGATTGAATGTGGATGGATACCATAGGCACTCACACTCTCTGTGAAGGAGTGAAGAACCTTCAGACTACGGTTGTGTTCTCTGCCTTCGCCAAAATAGTTATACACAAAATCAGGCCAGTACCAGGGCATCCTCTGGCGCCTAGTGATGATGTCACTCATTCTGCACCAAAAAGAGAAAAAAGGTACTTGCAAGTAATTGACTGTGATGATGTGTTTCCACAATTATCAACATCACAAATCTATAACCCTTTTTCATATTTTCATTTCTGTTAATTAATATACATTTATCGCAGTAAACTTTGTGTTAAATTACCGTGGCAGTAAATTACAAACACGAATTAACACTGCTGCGAGGGTGTTTCTAATATAACGGCTAAGGGAGTGATGGCAAATATCACATTATTCTCTCTTGTGACCAACATAATCAATCTCTCAATATTTTTCACTCTTTTGGAAAATTGTAGAAACACTATCATGGATTTTTCTTTTGATATTGGAGCAAATGGGAATACAAAAATTAGATTTGCTGTCATCTCACGTTCACCGCTTTAGAAGTTTACCCAACTATGACAACTTCTGAAATGTGAAAAGGGTCCATGGACTGTTTAGAATATAGCATGCTATATATATTTAATTTTTTAATTTCTTTTCTTAACTTCAGGCTAGAATTATTTTAAGTATTTTGAAACTTTCAGAGCACTGACTACAACTCCAGACTATCTGTGACCCTGGACCACAAAACCAGTCTTATCTGTCTTTTTTTTTTAAATGGATATTTATACATCATCTGAAAGCTGAATAAAGAAGCTTTCCATTGATGTATGGTTTGATAGGATAGTACAACTATTTGAAAATCTGGAATCTGAGGGTGCAAATAAAAAATCTAAATATTGAAAAAATCGCCTTTAAAGTTGTCCATTTCTGTTGGCGATTTTGCTGCGTCCACTCACAAAAATATTTTTTTTATATATTTAAGGTAGGAAATTTACAAAATATCTTCATGGATCATGATCTTTACTTAATATCCTATTGATTTTTGGCATAAAAGAAAAATAATTTTGACCCATAGAATGTTTTGTTGGCTATTGCCACAAATATACCCGTGCGACTTATGACTGGTTTTGTGGTCCATTTGATAAAGACACAATCATTGCATGGCCTTCACCCTATTCAAACAAACATGACACGGAATAAAAACTAACTCGCCAACCCAGATAAATACACACAGTCATTTGCACAGTTACAAACCAGCATTGATTTGTACTCAGATGCACAGTCCAATCTGTCTAATATCCACCCTAAATATCCCTGCCATATTAACACTAATGTATAAAAAAAAAAAAACACTTACCTGTACACACTGCGCACATACTCAGAGTCATAGTTGCTCTGTGCATAGATCTTCTTCCCCATAGCAGTCTCTGAAATGCAAACCAGATCTGTTTTTAAGTTTGACATTTGCTCCACATCCTCAAAGTACTTTCTATTGTCATTAGCACTAAAAATTAAAACCACCATTAACACACAAAACCGTGTACCTTTAACATCAGCCCAAAATGTATAAATTGTCTATACCCTGAAGCATACATATTAGACTATCAGTACCTATCCTGTTAACAGTCAGTGTCCTAGCTTGACACTTGGCGCCCTTTTTTTTTTTTGACTATCACATATTTGATTAATCATCATAAATATAATTTGAAACCTTACTTAAAATTCATAACTTGAAATTGGACATTGCATTACCATGGAACCGGTAATTTATAACCTTTTAGCAGGCTCAAGTTCCCTTTCGAGAGGTTCCTCCTATTGCGTAAGTAGCTTACGCTATGGGAAAACTCCTTTTCTCGAGAAATATTGAAGTCTTTATGTAAAACGCATTGCAGCGACACAGCATACAGCAATGAGCGAGGCAGCTCGGTCATTGGCTGTGCTGCGGCAACTGCACGAACCTATGACGGGGCGACTCTGAACCCGCTTCCAATGAGCGTGCTTCGCGCCCGCGCGCGTCAGAACCCGCCAAGATGGGCGTGGCCAAGGGCTATATATTGTGCGCCCCGTCGTCTGAGTTCTTTAGATTTAATCTCCTTCAGCAAAGACCTTCTCTTCGCTGGATCCTCCGGATTTTTGGAGTCTCTTTGCCGCCGCCGTCGACAAGCCTACAGCAGGACTGCTTCGAGGACGCCGGCGCCTTCAGCCGCCTTCGATCGCCTTCTGCTAAGCCATCCGGCGCGCATCACCTATATCCTTTTCAAAGCTACCAGTGTTCGCCCCCGCGACACTTTCTAAAAGAGCAAATTAACTGGGCGTTATTTCAAATGTCTTCCTGCGCCTCGTGTCGAGGCCCTCTTCAGGACGGGGATCGTCACATCATTTGCACCCGCTGCCTGGGACCGAACCACGCAGAGGCTGCCCTTACTCGAGGCGGATGCCCCGTGTGTGACGCCCTGGGCCTCACCGAGCTGCGCGCTCGCTTTGCCGCTTTCGCTGCGAAAGAGCCCACCTCCACCGTGCTACCATCCCCTCTGGTCGAGCCGCGCAAGAAGAAGCGCCGCTCACAGAGGCCGCCAGAGCACGCGGTTTGCAGTGACGTCACGCCGGGCCAATCCCCGCGTGCTTCACCACCACCCGAAGACTCCCCGCCGCCAGTCCAGTTCACACAGGCCGACCAGCACCCCTCCAGTAGAGCGATGGGTCTCGTCTCGTTTGGCGCGTCAGGGGATGACGACGAAAAGGATGACAGCCTTTCCTTTGATGCTGCATGGCTCGTCCTTCGACCCCGAGCCATCGACGTTAGCGGGCACGAGCGTGGGCTCCAGCATGGACTCGGAAATCGTCCGCATCCTGTCTAAGGCCGTGGAAGACCTCGGGCTCGATTGGTCTTCCCCGAAAGAACCCGCCCGCAGCCGACTGGACGAGTGGTTCCTGCAGGGGCGCCGGCAGGCTCCTCGGCAAAGGCCCTCCCCTTTCTTCCCGGAAGTTCACGACGAACTCACGAAGTCGTGGAAAGCCCCGCACTCTGCTCGCCTGAAGCCTTCTTTCTCTTTGTCGCTCTCCTCTGTGGACGGCGCGAAAGAAAGAGGCTACGAGGGGACTCCGCCCCTCGAGGAGGCTGTGGCCAATCACCTGTGTCCACCCTCCACCGCTGGATGGAAAGCCAAAGCTTCTCATCCCTCGAAGCCTTGCCGATCTACTTCAGCTCTCGCCGGTCGCGCATACGCCGCCGCCGGAAAAGCTGCGTCAGCGCTTCACTCCATGGCTGTCCTCCAAGTGTTTCAAGCTAAACTTCTCCGCACCATGGACGAGTCTGGACCTGATCCTGAGGCATTCAAGGATCTGCGCAGCGCCACTGACATAGCACTGCGAGCCACAAAAGCCACCGCCCAATCCATCGGCCGTGCTATGGCTAACCTGACTGTCCTTGAGCGCCATCTGTGGCTGACGCTAACAGAGATGAAGGATGCAGATAAGGCGTCGTTCCTCGATGCGCCTATCTCCCAAAGCGGCCTGTTCGGACCAGCGGTGAAGGAGTTCGCTGAGCGCTTCACCGAAGCCCGTAAGGATTCGCAGGCTATGCGACACTTCCTGACCAAGCGATCTAGCTCATCGCAGAGCCGCCAAAAGCCGCCTCAGCAGCAGCGAGTCAAGACGGCGCCTCTCTCTCTCAGCCCAGACCTGAAACTGACTTTCGACGCCGCTCGCGCTCTGCCAACAGGAAGCAACCGCCCGAGCGACGGGGACCCCGGCCCAAGATTGTGCTGAACCCAGAGCCTCGTAAGTCTTCCTAGCTACAGGGAGAAAGAGAGAGAGCGCGTGTCTCGCAGAAGCCAGACCGCTCTCTCCAAAACGTCTAAAGCATTACCCAGTCCCCTTACAGGCGGCTGGAAATGTCTGTACAGCAGCCAATGGGCCAGCCGCACAGCTCGCTCACCTGCGAACAAACGCCGTTTTTACGGCGACACACAGAAATCACATAAAGAGCCATTTTCTGCCTGTGTCATTAAGGGGTCACGTGTCCACACTAAAGTGCGCATTCCCACATATCAAAACTGTCAAAGCAGTGCCAAATGCTTTCCCAGCTCAGGCTGGACGCCCCATAAATGTAGATTGTGTGCCCACTGTCATGTATGCACCACTACACATAAGCACTGTTCCCACAGTTATAAACACTTCCCCAGTAAAAGCGGGAAATTCTATAAGAGTAGCGTGTGTGCCCGCTGTTATGCATGCACCCCAACTCACAAACACTGTTTATATGGCCAAAAACCTCCCGCCACGAGCGGGAAGTTTTATGAAAGTGGCGCGCGTGCCAACACAGTCTATGCACCCCCACCCATAAGCACTGTCCATACAGTCTTAAACATTTCCCCAACTCACACTGTGAGCATTACAGATGTGGCGAGCGTGCCTGTAATCTCACACGCGCCCCTGCACTCGGCATTCAACAAAGCTGCTCAGCGCGCGCCCGCGCCTCTGAGAGCTGTAAGCTCAGTATTAGCACAGGGCGATTTGCCGGCGGGAGCCATACGTCACTGCGACACGCCCCCAGCCAGCATTCAGCCCATATCTGTGCGAGCGAAAGCTTGGGAAAATATCCCCGGCATGCCGAAATGGGTTTTGAACATAATAAAACACGGTTGCTCGCTTCAATTCGCTCGCAGACCGCCCCGCTTCACAGCGGTGGTCGAGACGAAAGTGAGAAAAGATGTTTCACATGTTCTACGCACCGAGGTGCTCAAACTGATAGAGAAGAGCGCTATAGAAACGGTCCCTCCCTCTATGAGCGAGGCAGGTTTTTACAGTCGCTATTTTCTCGTCCCGAAGAAGGATGGTGGTCTCTGCCCCATTCTAGATCTCAGACATCTGAACAAAGCTTTAATGATTCTCTCGTTCAGAATGTTAACAACCAAACATATCCTCGTGCAAGTTCGCCCAGGGGATTGGTTTCTATCTGTGGATCTGAAAGACGCTTACTTTCACATTCCGATAGCGCCTCATCACAGGCCATTTCTGAGATTCGCTTTCGAGGGACAGTCATACCAGTACACAGTACTACCATTCGGCCTGTCACTGGCACCCCGTACATTTACGAAATGCATGGATGCAGCACTTTCCCCCCTGAGACAGCGGGGAGTGCGAATACTGAATTATCTCGACGATTGGCTAGTCCTAGCACAATCAGAGAGCCCGTTAGTGACACAGGTCTTGGATTATCAGTCATCTAGAACGTCTGGGTCTAAGAATCAATTTTGCAAAGATCATGCTATCCCCCAGCCAGAATATTTATTTTCTGGGAATAGTGCTAGACTCAGTGCAGATGACGGCGCGCCTCTCATCAGAGCGCGCGCTCACTATCCGGCGCCTTGCAACATCGTTCAGAGCGGGCGCGCACGCCCCCGTCAAGCGATTTCAAAGGATGCTCGGTCTCATGGCCTCAGCATCAGCTGTACTCCAGCTAGGATTGTTGCACATGCGTCCTCTCCAACGCTGGCTCAAAAGCCGTGTCCCCACTCACGCGTGGCGCTCGGGCCACTTTTTAATCAGAGCGAATCACGGCTGCATAAAAGCCCTGACGCCCTGGAAAGCTGTCGACTGGTATCAGTCCGGTGTGAGTCTGGGCATGAACACAAGGAGAAAAATGATCACGACAGATGCCTCCGAAATAGGTTGGGGGGCCCTGTACGAGGGCAGGCCTGTCTCCGGCTTGTGGTCGAACCCGGAGAAGCGCCTACATATAAACTGTCTGGAATTGAAAGCGGTCGCTTTGGCTCTCAGAGCCCTGCTTCCGTACCTGAAGGACAAGCACGTCCTGGTCCGAACGGACAACATGACGGTAGTCTCGTACATAAATCGTCAGGGTGGACTCAGGTCGAGCTCCCTGCACTCGATGGCCAAGGAACTCATCCTATGGTCCCAGCACAACCTGCGCTCGCTGAGAGCAGCGCATGTGCCAGGTGTTCTGAACCAGGGAGCAGACATGCTGTCCAAAGACAAAGTTCTCCCAGGAGAATGGTCTCTCCGCCCCCGACGATTCAGTGGTTATGGCAAACCTTTGGCAGAGCAGAGGTCGACCTCTTTGCCTCCAAGGAAAATGCGCACTGCCCTCTCTTCTTTTCAAAGAGCACAGACGCGCTCGCCCAAATCTGGCAGAGCCGCCCGCTGTATGCCTTCCCTCCGGTCGCGATGCTACCTCAGGTCATCAGTCGGATCAGGGAGGAGAAATGTGCAGTGCTCCTGGTAGCCCCACTCTGGAAGAACCAGACGTGGTTTCCAGAACTGATGCAGATGATGCAATCTCCCCCATGGCCGATTCCGCTGAGGCTAGACCTCCTCAGGCAGGCCAACGTGATGATCCTCCATCCCCGCCCCGATCTGTGGGCCCTCCATGCATGGCCCCTCAACGGGTTCCCGGGAACCTCCCCAGTGGAGTGTTGAGAACCATCACTGAGGCGCGAGCGCCCTCTACGAGGCGCTTATATGCCCAGAAATGGAAGGTGTTCAGTGACTGGTGTGAATCCAGGAACCTGAACCCTGAGACATGCGAGGTACCGAGTGTGCTCGTTTTCTTACAAGAGCTGTTGGAGGCAGGACGCACCCCCTCCACGCTCAAAGTATATGTGGCTGCCATAGCGGCATCACACGACCCTGTAGAAGGACGCACACTAGGGAAAAACTACCTAGTTGTTCGTTTCCTGAGGGGCGTCAGGAGGATAAATCCCCCACGCCGCCCCTCAGTGCCGATCTGGGACCTGGCCACGGTCCTGGACGCACTCAAAAGTGCCCCGTTTGAACCCCTCCGAACTGTGTACCTTAAACAGCTCTCGCTCAAAACTGCTCTCTTGCTGGCTCTCGCCTCGGTCAAGAGAGTGGGCGACCTGCACGCGCTGTCATCAAGCGCTGCCTGCCTGGAGTTTGAACCTAACGACAGCAGAGTTGCCCTCAGGCCAAAACACGGGTATATTCCTAAGGTGCTCTCTACACCCTTCAGAGCACAGGTGATATCTCTGGCCGCGCTATCGTCTCCAGCAGACGAAAGCGACGCTAATTTACTCTGCCCGGTCAGGGCGCTCAGAGTATATTTGGAACGTTCTGCCCTGTTCAGACAGACAGAGCAATTGTTCGTATGCTTTGGCGGCCTCACCAAAGGTCTCGCTGTTTCAAAGCAGAGAATATCGCGCTGGATAGTTGATGCTATAGCGCTGGCTTATGAAGCCAAGGGCCTTCAGTGCCCCTTGGGCATCAGAGCTCACTCTACGAGAGGCATGGCCTCCTCGTGGGCGTGGTCGAGTGGGATACCCATTCAAGATATTTGTGCGGCAGCAGGCTGGGCCTCACCGTCAACATTTATCAGGTTTTATAACCTACAGGTCCCCTCATTGCACTCCAACATACTGTCGGTCTAACTATGCATAGGCTGGAGTGTGTACATGCTGAGCATTATCTCCTCCCTTATAGGATCCGTCTCTGACTGACTTAGAGGGTTTTTCATGCATATCAGTACATAAAAATGTGCTTGTGTGTTTTCTCTGGACGCCCATTGGGCCGTTCCACATTGTCCCTTATAAAGCCCGCCTTCGGCCGGCTCGTTGGATAATTACTTTGCTTAAAGGCTCAGGCATCTGCCTCCGGCTTAATAGAGCGAAGTCAGCACGCACGGCGTTTTACATGGTGTTCCCATAGCGTAAGCTACTTACGCAATAGGAGGAACCTCTCGAAAGGGAACGACTCGGTTACTAACGTAACCTCGGTTCCCTGAGAGGAGGGAACGAGTATTGCATAAGCTGCCGTGCTTGTGCTTGGTCAGTTCGCTTCAGTCGATTGAACCTAAAGAACTCAGACGACGGGGCGCCCAATATATAGCCCTTGGCCACGCCCATCTTGGCGGGCTCTGACGCGCGCGGGCGCGAAGTACGCTCATTGGAAGCGGGTTCAGAGTCGCCCCGTCATAGGTTTGTGCAGTTGCCGCAGCACAGCCAATGACCGAGCTGCCTCGCTCATTGCTGTATGCTGTGCAGCTGCAATGCGGTTTACATAAAGACTTCAATATTTCTCGAGAAAAGGAGTTTTCCCATAGCGTAAGCTACTTACGCAATACTCGTTCCCTCCTCTCAGGGAACCGAGGTTACGTTAGTAACCGAGTCGTTTTGTGTTATCAGCTACCAATTTGGAACACAACTTGGTTAGAAACGGCTTGATTTTCTAGCTATTTTAGAGTCCAAATTATTTATATATATATATATATATAAATTTATATATATATATATATATATTATTTGTATATATATATATATATATATATATATACTGTATATATAGTATACAATGAAAAATGTTTAGTTTAGTAGCTACATTTGTTTTACAGTAAACTGACACTTGAAGTGCTTTCATTTCTGCATTGATCTGTTGAGTATCTTCTTTAAAAATAGACCAACCATGAATTACAACAATTTAAGATCAGATCTATGCTCAAAAAGAGGGGTGGCAGTTAACATGTTAAGGTTAAAGTGTATTCAGAAAATCACACAAACCACAGATGATGTCAAGGGCGCAGAGAGTGATGTGATTAAAGCAGTTGAAAGGCCCTTTTCCAGCTTGCTTCTCTAGTTTCTCTATGAGCACCTCCGCCTGCTCATTCATCACCTCAAGGAACTCAGTTAGTATAGAGAAATGAAATGTTGGAGTTAGCATCTTACGTCTGCGTCTCCACTTATCCCCAGTACTAATAGAAAGGAAAATAGAAGGGTATAAGACAGATATCCTTTATATCAGTGTGGATATTATTCACATCTACTTTATGGATAATTTGATAATTATTTGCAAAGGGATAATACTAATATGTTTACTCTTGTATTAAGAGTAAGTTAGTAAACAGTTTACCTGGTGAGTAGTCCTGTTCCCAGCCAGGGGTGTAGAAATTTGTATGCGTAGGCCTTGTCCATGTGAACAGGGTTGTTCAGCACTGTCTGTATTGTGTGGTAGGATTTGCCAAGAGCAATATAAAACAGAGAAGTGAGGACTTGTAAAAAAACTGACAATTGTAAAACTAAACAAAATTTGACTATTAGGTTTCCTAAAGACTGCGTCATAACACTAGTTTCACAATCTTGTCTTTTTTCACAAGTGTGAGGCATCTTGTTGCTGATTTGTGTCTTTTGTACACAGTAAAAACTTGCACTTCTTTTTACCACATTGGACTTTAAAACTCCACTGAAAATTATCTTTGAATATTTTCTTCTAATCTTAAACATCGTATGTATTTCTTTGTACATAGATAACATACATACATTATCTTTTTAGTTATAGTTATCAACTTTGTTGTGCTGTCAGATAAGTTCACAAACCAAGGTTATCTTCATCTTCAAACATTCGCTCATATTGTGAAATATACTGATTAGGCCAGAGACCCTGGTCATAGGTGAGTATTTCTATCTACATGCAAGTGGACAATAGAGTACCTCGATAGTCTCAGCATGGTATAAGATGAGAAATGGGACAGGTCCAATCCATAATTTAAGCAGAGGAGAATTCCGGAATTCATTTGTGTAGCCAACCAACTGACAAAAGAAATCTGAAAGAAATGTTTTAACTTTTTTTATTTTAATGCATTTGAAGGGTTACTTTAAGTCAAGTGCAACTGGCGTTGTTGACAGTAACATGGAGATGGACTTTTTATGTTAAATTTAATAGAGACTGTGGGTAGTAGTCATATTGGTGAGGTGACACAACTATATATTTCAACTAAGGTTTGTGTAAGTAAAATGATTTCACAATCGCTTATGCAAAATATTTACTATAGATTAAACATGTGACGCCTAGTCCCAGGCTTAAAATATGGCGAGGGAAACTGTACATTTTAGGTGTTTTTAACTGTTCATGATTTATTTTACGTCTTCCTTTTTATAGTATTGAGAATCAGATTTAAGAACAAGTCTCCAAATAATCTCAAGAAAAACATTTTGAGAAAATAAAAGATCTCATTTGTAATTTCTCATCAGAAATATTTTTGAATTGGGAAAATGTGGCTGATTCATTTGCTACAAACACATGACCTGCCAGAACTGAAAGCGAATGAAGTTGATTTTTTAAATACAATAGTCTGCATTGATAAGAAGTACACATATTAGGAAAAAAGGTTTTCGAGGAATTATAGCATATTACAGTTCATTATAATCATCCTTTTATAATTTACTTTAAAATATTTTCATGTATAAATTATATTTTTATTGATCAGGTTATAGCAGATTAAAGTAGGACGACCTAAAGATGCTGGGGGAAAGGGAAATGGACCGATATAAAGCTCCTCTTACCTCCCGCGTTCGATTTAAACTGCAGCGCGTTCCCAATGAATGGATATGTGTTTCCAATGCTCGGGATGGGCTTCAGCTCTTTCCAGTTGTGCAGGTAGTTTTTCAGCAGCTGGTAAGTGATATATGTCAAGAGAATAACGCATACTGCCACGGCCACGAACCCAAAGGTATACACACCGACAAACACGACCATCTTGAAAGTGAGACGCACGGCAAGCGAGTTGTCTGTCTCTATCAGCTCTCCAGTGAATTTACTGGACTTTGGATCATCCTGACAATAATTCCACAAGTGCTGGTACAACCCACTGAAATAACTAAAGAATTGCAGAACTGTTCAAAATCAAAATGTACTTTGAAATTACACAATTTTAAATTAGAAAGTTTGGTGTGTTTATGTTGGGAAATTCCCAATGGGAATTATTGGAAGGACTATTAGGCTACAATAGGATGTTTGAAGCATAGATGCGGTTAGAGTGAATGTCGAAGTGTCCCGAAAGAATAATTTGTATAGAGATCTGCCAGAAGAATCAGCCATGATGAATGGCATAACTGATTTGTACAGAGGCATCTGATGACCAAAATAAATTGCAATTCACAAATTTATAAATCGAGTGAGCCCAGAGCGATTTGTGTCCACAATGTACGTTTTAGCGAAATGTACTCAGACCACCTCCCAAGATGCTCTCGGGTTGGTTCAGTCTAGATCGTTTGGAGTGCTCACATATCGGCAAAAAGACCCCTAAAAAAGGACCAAGTGTGAAAACACTTAAGGATGTGTTCACACTTGTTGATAGCACGTAGGCTACAGTACATCACGCAGACATATTTGATGTCTGCAAGATGTATTTTTTTGTGTTTGCTCACCGGCAATATGTCTCTAAGATTTTCCTGTCAGATGTCAAATAGACATTTAGAAAATGTCTTTAAGATGTTTATGATTGTATGTAAAACTGAAGAATGTTTGTACACAGCAGATGCTTTCCAGACAGTGTGCTATGTAAGACATCTTGAAGATGTGCTATCTGGGTTGGTTATTTTGGTCCGGACCAAAAAAAAAAAAAAAAGATTCCTGGTTTGTTTAGCGTTCACACTGTAATTTTTAACACCGAACCTAAAGATTTTTTTTTTTTTTTTTACATATTTTCCGAGGGAACTTACAGAACATCCAAAACAATACTGTGTGCTGGGCTAAATGCACTCATTGTATGTGCAAACATTCAGTATATTGATATTTATACCAGCTGAGAACTCACAAAGAGCTTATAAAATGTGTAAAAGTGACAAAACAATGCCAGGAATTCCTCCGTTACACACAAACAAAGATTTGCTACAAGGAGACCAAACTCTATTGTCTGTACTGAACTGTAATGGGCAACGTAGCTCCTATCACAAGGAAAAACAGAATGCTTTATCATTCTGTTTAGAGTCACATCTGTGTGACATCCTGTTTTTTGGTTTGTTTAGATGCCTTTGGTCTGTGTTGAGTTCATATTTCAGTTGAACAGCACCAGAGTTTGTTTGTAAGCGGGCCTAAGTTGTAAGTCTCAGCCCACTTGTTTGGTGTGCACCATGGTTCGGATGGCAGCGGTCATGCATTCAAATGAGCCGCACTAACAAAGTAATCGAACAAAACAAAGAACATACCCGTCACCCATAAAAATGTTTGTAATTAAAGAGAACCATATCTTACATATTGTGCCTTTAATAAATTATAAAATGCTTTAGGATCATTGCAAAGACATTGTTGGCTACAATATATCCTGGAGTAAAATTCGCTTACGGAAAGGTGCGTTCAAGCCATGTCGTAATTACCGTAATGATTCTGAACTGTAAAAAGTATTCACGTGCTTGCAGAACTTGTAATTACAACATGTTAACTCGTAATTTTCTGAGAGCTACAATTTGTACAATGTGGCCACTGTGGAACCTGACCAGTGCAGATTTTAGTGTGAGTTTGACTTGAAGTAGTGCTGTGCAGACCGATCAGTGTATGTCATCAAAGTACAGCAAGAGCGATTCGTAAGCATATGGAGCTTTATTTATGGTAATTACGACATGGTGTGAATGCAGCAATACTCTGCCATGCCACTCCTGAATTTGTATGACTTCCAAGTTGGCCTATTCTTGTGTCTGCTAATATTTCTAGTTTCTAGGCATACCTTTTTAAAAATAAAGGCAAAATGAACAGCTATAATGATTAGGTAATCACAAAACTGTGCACATGCTTTTTCTTGATCGTTAATGCATGGTAAAAAGGTAGGCAATTGACTTTATTACAAATTTTACATACTGAGCTCATGGATTAAGATAAAGATCGTGTTCTAAGGGGTTAGAATTGTTGCATTATTCCAAATAAATAGATTGAGATTCACAAATAAATGTAAAGAGTTTCACAAAATTAATAAAATTCACAAATAAATTAAAAGAGATTTCCAAATAAATAAATAAAATATTTGCAAATGTATTTTATGACACAAACACAACTCTGCCTGGCATTCATTTGGGAATTGCTTTCTTTGCGTTTGTGAATTGCTTTCTGTGGATTTGTAGATCCCCACACGCATTTGTGGATTTAGAAATACTTCTAGCGTCAAGACGTGCAGGTGCAGGCAAATCCACAAATAAGTGGAATCCACCCACCATCTAGCCTACTTAAGCCAATCAGATAATAGTCATTTGCACTGACCATTCATATCACTCTCATGCTCCAACCAATTTTTTTAAATCAGGGTGGTCTTGCCCCAAAATAAAGGTGCGTTCACGCCATGTTGTACTTACTGCAATTACGATTTCAACTTGTAAGAAGCGTTCACATCCTCGTAGAGATACAGCTTGTAACTTAAGATGGGAATTGTCTAAGAGCTCCTAGTTGTACCACATGACTGCTGTATCACCTGACTGCTGCGGGTTCATTTAGGTTTTGATAGTGGTGCCATAGAATCAAATAAGTTTCTATTCTCAACAGCTCAGAATATAACGTAACGTGTTGTCATCTTCAGACTACGGTAATTACGACATTGCGTGAATGCAGCATAACTTTGCTCATTCATCTGCATTGGCTCAAATAGGAAGCATACGGCCCATTCAATTGGTACAGGAAAAGATGTTCAAAAAATTTGGATTGCATTAGACCATTAGACTGTGTATCAAGCCAGGTCGGTATTATATTTTATGAGCCTTTGAAAATGCCAGAAAAACAACGCTTAACATCTCCGTTGTGGGAGCAACGCAACGGTTTATGGAAGCCACACGTTATTCAAGAACAGAAAAGCATCTAGCACTTTATTTCACAGTCATGTTCCATGTATGTACTTATATCGCAATAACTGGGTATAACTACGATTACAATTTCCACATAAATTTCGTATTAAGACACAATTGTGAAATTTTTACATCGGTGAAAATTGTGGCTGTAATTTAGGGTGTCTGGATTTAAGAATGCTTATTGCATTAAAATGTTGCTATAGTTTGTTTTATCTGCCTGCGTGCATGTAAAGCATAGGCCTAACGTGAAGGTTTTTTTTATTTTATTATTAAAGATTCATATATCAAACATACAACAAGGCACATTGCAATCATATTCAGTCAATCTACAACATGAATTGAACATGGAGTACAACATTGTAAAAAAAAAAAAACAATGAGGCCTAACGTGAAGTTTGGCTAGGTTATGACATAAGCTTCCTCCGTCATTAAAGCATGACAAAAGAAATGTCTAGGTTGCCAGGATACGGTGATCAGAGTTGCAGTTATTCAGCTCCGCGGGAGAGGGAGGCATTGTGCGCGTGAAAGACTTCTTGGGTCGCCAGGGACAGACAAAACACTGAAGCTCATTCGAGGACAGGTTATTGTTTTAAATGTTTTATTGCTGTCTTTATTAGTGTTAAGTTTAATGTAGTTAGATACTGTAAGCTTCTAATAAATCATGCACACGTTAATCATAAAACCAATAGTCTTATTATTTTTAAATGTAGCCTATCAATTTAAATAAAGTTGGTATAAACTAAAGTACCTAAATTATTTGGCCAATATCATACTTTATTTTATATTATGTTTTTATATTATATCCCGTAACGGTAGCCTAATAATCGTATTGTAACTTTGCACTTACCTCTTCTGTTAGACTTAAAATTGAGCGCGTTGCCTAGGAAAGGGTAAGTTGGACTAATCCCGGGAACAGGTTTTAGTTCTCTCCATTTGTGCAAGTAATCTTTAAAAAACTGATATGTTGTAAAAGTCAAAACAAGTAAAAGTAAGACAAAAATTAGAAATCCGTTTAACAGTTCACCAACTTCCACATGCATTTTGATGTTTTGTAAGCAGTGGTTTTCCAGAGCTCGCCTGTTAAATGACTACTTGAAAATGTTGTTGGCTACATCCCCCTATAAAGACATGGGACGTGCTTAGGTTTTCAAATACACAAAATGACTCTCCTTGTTTATTCTGCACAAGCATATGGAATGTTTTATTTAACATGGAATAGAAATGACAAAGACTGCCTTTTTATGGGCTGAAAATTCAACATGGCTGAATATTTAAGCTGTGAATATTTCAATTCAAAACATTTCAAACACATTTTCTTTATTAAAAAAATAAATAATCCATAGTCACCTTTCATATTTCACTTCCAAAATTTTCAAACTGTTTAAAAATACAACCTATAATATTCAACAGGCAATTAACAGGAATAAAATCGGTTTCCCTCAATACCTCAAGGATATCGTATAGCTTAATGGACTAATACAGGGATATAAAAGACCAAACTCGCACCTTATTGGGGATGTAGGCTGTACTATAGGCGACAGGCAAGCAGATGGACTCTGAGCGATTCCCAGTGATATTGGCATTAAATCACCACTTGATCAATTAATACACTTTCTCTTCCCTTGTATTCTATTCTATATATATATGCCTACATGTACTGCATTAGATTAAACTGGGAAGGGTCATAGCACTTGCATATTGTTGTCCTATGTACATTTTTATGACTATAAGTCGTTCTCTTCAAATGCTATTGAAGTTAGAAACGTGTATACAATGTCGTATGTAACTTTAGAGACGGTCCATGTGCGAATGTCCAGTGTCAAGCCAACTTTATGCCAGTATATTACTGGGAAACGCTCAGCATTAAACTTTGCACGTTAAGTTCATATTCTGAGTCCATCTGCTTGCCTGCGAGTTTGGTCTTTTATATCACTGTATAAGTCCATTAAGCTACGTTAAGCATT